CAGCCTCACTCCTCACTCCTACTGGCTGAAGTTGTTAGCCAATATGCCCCGTTATCCTGTTTCCTTCCCTTGTTTCCCTTTCTTTTACTTCACAAGTTCTGCTCCGCTACTTTTCAGTGTTTTCACCTCGTTTTTGCATATGTGGCAACGCATCGGTCCTCGTTTTGCCACTTGTCATTCACCAGTTTCTTTTGCTGAGTACTCGACGTTGCTTTTTCAAGTAAGCTGTGGCATGTTTCCATCACCCGTGCTCTTTCCCATGTCAATTTCACTTGCCGAGTTGTCAGATGTGTTGTAGACCTCTGACAACTTACCACACTTGTAAATTCAGTAGGCTTTTCAGATGTAGCAAAACTTCGTTCCACGTTCCGCCGCTTGTCGTTCACTTGTCGGCGTTGCTTTCTCGAGTAACCTGTGGTCCAGTTGTTAGATGTCCTGAGGACCTCTGACAGCTTACCACACTTGTAAATTCAGTGAGCTGAGAAGGTACCTCCCAAAATGGCTGTGCCTGGCTGTCCCACTCATTACTTGCCAAACTTGGGAACTACTTCTCAGGGATGGATTTTTTTCTGTTTGTCCTTGGGCCAAAGGACAAATGATGAGTGTGTGCGGCGAACAATGAAGCCCTACGGCGGCACTTCATTTTCATATGAATAATGAGTGGTGGAATGAGGCTCTTGTTTTCCACACAGCGAATCACATGAATACGAACAGAAATCTGGTCCAATTGCAGGCATACAAGTATTCAACTTGTAAACTGTGGGCTGGATAGAAGCAGTTGCAGCTTCACTGCTGTTCTGTTTGGTAGAGAGTAATTGCCAAGGATGTTTTGCAAGGAGAGCATGTGACAGGCGATCGGATAGCAACTTGTGACATTTGGACAAACATATGCGAAGGCAATGAGCATCGCATGATAGCAGAACAACTGTCACAGTTTGGACCACATTTTCCAAAGGTGACAGAGTGGAAGGCCTGACTAGTGGTATGTTTCTGATTATGAAGAATGAATGCCTGATTGGTTCTATGTGTCTGATTAGGAAGAATGAAAACCAAAATTGTCCAGGTCCATGCTTTTTCAGAACAACCAATAGCAGCAGACGGGCCTGGTCGAAAATTTTGAGAAGGTAAGTGTCACTGTTGCATAAAAAGAGAAGGGCGAAAGGAAGAAGGGGCCGAGGAAGGAAAATGGCAAGGGATTAGACCAGGCAGAGGAAAGGAAAGCAGGGGCGGGGCGGTAGTATATCCTTCCTTTTACAGGAATTAATCAGTGCTGCGGTCTCAGGGCGCTTGATCTTAACAAGGAATTAATGGGTGCTGGGTTCTCAGGGCGCTTGATCATAACAAAGCGCAGCGTTTTGTGTGCACCAGATGCCAGGGACACTGGAGTGACTGGACCCATTTTCAGGTCATATGAATTCAAACAGTTTCTAAAAAACAAAAAGAAGAAGAATGGTCGTGCCTAAAAATAGAAAGTCGCAGAAGTAAGTGTGCTTGTAGCTGAGATGTATCTTATTGTGGTCGAACCTCTGAACCGTCCTCGACTCTTCTTCTGCTTTGTCCTTGATCATATCTGATGTTGTGCTTCACAGGATGCCAGTGCCCTAATCGTCCTTGACTCTTCATCTGTCTCTTTCGTTATCATATCGGTTTGTCTGGCTAGATGGGCAGAGGGCTCCCTCTCCTCCGCTGACTGTGTGGACCCTCCACATGCAGACATCACATGTCCATTTGCAACTGGGGGCGTTATGGTGAATGCATGCTCCCCTGTAATGCCTGTTGTTCTTTCGTCCTGGCCTGCACCTGATGTGCCTCTTGTCAGGACTCGGGAGTGGTATGTGGGGTGTGTCCCGTGGCCTGGGCCAGAGAAATAGGTGCTCTGCTGGCTTATGCTACCCTGCTCGACGAGGGTGTGCATCACTTTGTGTGTCTTCTATATGTGCCCACAGCTTGGATGAGTTTACTGACCAGTTTCTCCCGTGGAACTTCCAGTGTCTCCAGCCTTTTCCTGGCCTTCGATGGTTTGCGTTGGCTCAAGCCCATCTCCCGTATCAATGGTTTTGCTGTTCAGGGACATAATGCTGACTCTGTTTTCTCACCCTTGATTTACCTCATCGTGTTCTCCAGCTCTGCCTCTACTGCTCCCGTTGCCTTCATTGCAACCAACAATCAACCTTGGTTTTAGTTTTGCATGGCTTCGTTCATCTCGGCCTATCTGACTCAGCACCTACTGCGCCCTCACTGCCCCCTGCAGCCATTCCATCACCTCCCGTGTCATCCCCCGTCCATCCGCAGCCCTGCCTTCTTCTATCACATCCCAAGACCTCTGATTTCACTTTCATCTTCCTTTACACCTGGTAAGTCTTCTTCATACATGACTTCATCTCCTAGTATCCTTCATAGTCACGGACTCACCATCCCCTGCCTATTCGGCACCTTCGCCACTCTGGTGTTGTAGATCATGAAATCCTGTTCAGCCTTCCCTCTCTTTCTGTGCTTGGGGTGGGAGAGGATTCCGCTCAGACTACCGGCCTCCCTTCTCAGTACTCTTTTTTGAACTCGTGAACCTTAGACATCATTCTTAAGTTGTATGGCTCTCCGGTGAACGATCAGAACTGCACTCTTTTTGCCAATGGCCTATGCCTGTCTCTTATACACATCTAGATGTGTATAAGAGACAGACCTGCGTGTGTCTCTGTGTGTCTCGCCCCATCCTCCCCCCCCCCCCCCACACCTCATCCCTCACCCCTTTCCCTCTCTTACAACCCCCTCCTTTACTAGCCCCATCCTCACCCTCCGACCCGCCCTCACCCCTCACCCCTTTCCCTCTCTTAGAAGCCCCTCCTTCACTAGCGGTTAATGGAAGGCCCAAAATTTGGGGTTTCTCGCGGCATCACTCCAGCAATGTTGTCGAAACTTTTGCGAACAAACTATGCAGGGTCATAATGCAAACAAAGAAAAACGAACAGGCAAAAAAAACAAAGCAAAAAAACTCAAGAGCACTATAAAACCCTATTCAGAGTAGCTTTTGGAGTTCACCGAATCTTTCTTAGAGTCCGGTGTTTTTGCCAACTTTTTCGTTACTGGTCCAAATACGGCGAAACTGAATATACATATCAGACGAAAAATAAAAACAAGAAAAAACTTCCAAAAAGTAAAAATTCAGGGAAATATGGCAGTTTCGGTGATAAATTTGCAAAAATTTGCGGATTTTTGGGCCTTCCATTAACCGCTTCTCTTATCCTGTTTCCTTCCCTTGCTTCCCTTTCTTTTACTTAACAAGTTCTGCGCTCGTTACTTTTCAGTGTTTTCACCTCATTTTTCCATATGTGGTAACACATTGGTCCACGTTGCGCCATTTGTCATTCACCAGTTTCTTTTGCTGAGTACTCGACGTTGCTTTTTCAAGTAAGCTATGGCATGTTTCCAGTTATGCATGAAACATCACCCCTGCTCTTTCCCATGTCAATTTCACTTATCCAGTTGTTAGATATGTTGCATCCTGGAGGGCATAGTTCACCTGACAGTGTGACTCAAATGAGCTACAAAACCGTGCACATGTGCCATGTATCATGTACCAGGCCATAACAGGCTTTCAGAGACTCCGATTGGGCAGGCAAAGCTCATTAGTGTAGATTCTCAGCTGTACATTCCCTTCACCTCCCCAGACTGTCCACCGCTCTCTCTCTCTCTCTCTCTCACAGTGGTATTTTCCTTTCCCTCCCCTCAACCTGTCCTC